GTGTAAGTTCCTTAGGATTTGTTTGAACTACGTGTGGCGAAGTTTGGCCTAATTCCTTTTATATACACATTTTATGCAAATTAAGGTGTGGCCCTGCATAGTTTACTTCTGTGTGTGGCATGTGCAGGTAAACTTTCTTAAGGTTAAATTAGCATAATACTGGCTCACTGAAGTGTGCACATACATGCATTGGGTGCAGTTTTTAGTGAGAAGCAGACAGGCTTGTGGTGCGATAGCACACTGTAGAGCGATAGCTCCAACATTTTGAATATCAAGTCTTACTACTGAGTGGATGTTTGAGAATCCAGAGAAGGCGATAGCCTACCCTTCAGCAGCGTTAGTTGCAGATAGATTTTTCTGCCATTTTGGCTGGCAGTTTGCCTAGTCTGAAGAGCTGTGTTTTAGACAGCGCAATTTGCATCCTCTGACGGTAGTCCAAGTTTTAGGAGCCAGTAATATACTGTAAGTTTCAATTTAATATTTGTTTCATTAGTATAAAGTAATTAATTCATTTAAACATCAGTGAATGTCTCAATTGTGCTGTATTGTACCTTGTGCATATTTGAATGCATTACGTTGCAAATCTGCTTTATGGGACACGCCCCTTTTGGCTGATATAAATATTTTTGTGTGATCAGTTGATTCTATAATTACAGCCTGAAAATAGGGTAGGTGGTTATTATTATATTTAATATTATTTCAGGGCTCCTTATTGTGGAGTTAAATCCACGCCCGGCAATTATACCCGGATCCGCCCGTTGGCTGGGGACCACTTTGATTCACATCTAACCGTGAGGCCTATCCCGCCGGCCGTAGACGGAGGACGTGGACGTTTGGCCCTCCTAGTGGCCGAGAACGTTGTGTCATCACCACCGTATCGTCAGTCCAAAGACAGGTTCGAGGACCGCTGGACGGAGGCTCCCACACAAGTGAACTGTTCTAGAATTGAATCTCCGGTAACCTTTATAAGTCTCATATTGGAAAGGGGTTGTTAAATATTGGAAAAAGGTTTTTCGTGTCTGATCAAAATATTGCAATTGTTGAATTGTATTGGCCAATAATTAGAGCCTAGAAATTGGATTGGCTGAAGCAATATTTCCCCATTATTGATTTTTGTGTATTTTTGTAGTGTAAAATAAATAATTGGCTAGTGTACATTTTGCTTTCTACTATTATTGTGTCTGAGCGTTGTTATGATGAGACCGGGGACACATTGCGTGTGAGAGGGTAGGGGGGACCCGGGTTTGTGACACAGCAGCCCAGCAAAATCCTCTTCATCTGGCAGACTTTGACCCGCCATCACAGACAATTCCGCAGCCCCGACCAGCACCTCACATGTACACTGCCCACCAGATGAAAGATGTGCAGACCTTCAGTGGGTACGGTTCAAAGAAGCATGGACTCAAGGTCGAGGACTGGGCGAGGGACATCAGATTCCTACTTGAAGCCAAGGGACCTCAACCGGAGAGCATTCGGTTTCAAGAGGTGGTTCGGCACACCAAAGGAGAAGCGAGAGATGTCGTTCTAAATCTCGAGAGTCGGGGAACTGTAACCGCCGAAGAGGCCATCACCGAGCTGCTGGATGAATTTGGAGAGGGCAACATGTCGACAACGCCCATTGCCACCTTTTTTGCCAGAAAACAGCGGCCCAATGAAACTGCCATCGAATATGCAATCGCACTTGAGGCACTGCTTAGACACGTCGAGGAACTGCAGAGGTGGCAGGGGAGGAACGTTTCCTTTGAGGAAGACAGGGATGATCTTCTCACTACACAGTTCATGGTGGGCCTCCATGACAATGCAGTCAGACAACGCTTGGCGCCGATGAAACCCCGTGACATGAGCTTTAAGCTGCTTCGTAAGGAGCTCCGCGTCATCAGCGAAGAGTTCCGCCTAGCACGTGAGTCGAGGCGTCACTGGTATGAGACCCACCAGCAGAATACTGGGGCGCCAGTTGCGGACGTCACTACACCGTTGACCAGAGAGGGGAATACCAAAGCAGGGCCTGCCCAGACGAATCAGCAGTCCACCACAGATGTTACGGATCAGCTTGGGGAACTGACAGCTCTAGTACAGAGGCAGCTTACTACCCTAGACCAAGTCATCGAAGGCCAACGATGGATGGGACAGCGAATCCAACACCTTGAGGGCTTCATCTATCAAGGACAGTCGATGCGGAGCCCCAGACAACCGAATCTTCCTGTTCGTGCCCCTGCCTTAAGGCCAGAAAGGAGATGCTACAACTGCGGGGAAGTAGGTCATTTCGCACGGCAATGTAGAGTGCCCCGACAAGGACAGCAGCCTTTAATTTAGCCTGACCTGCGGATGCCGGGCAATCGGCAGGTAACTCTGTAAATAAAAGCCCTACTGGATCTAGAGATGAGAGGAGCACAGGAATGGTTTCTACCCAAGCTTGCAAGGAATCTCAGCAAAAGGAGGGGCCAATGCATATCGCGGGACCAGTCAGCACCACCGAAGTGGTAGTTCAGGCAAATGCTGTCAGGCTCTCGTGGACACGGGTTCCCAAGTGACCACCATCACTGATGTGTTTGTCAGGGGACATCCACAGCTTAGATGTGAGGCCCTGCGGTCGTCAAATATCTAAATCAAAGGTGCTGGAGGTCAGAGAGTCCCCCACAAGGAATACATCCTGCTTAGTATTGACACCCTGGGACAAAAGGTAAATAACGTCCCTGCCCTGGTAGTGCCAGACACCCCCTTTCGACGCAACGTCCCCCTTCTCCTCGGAACGAATGCGATCCCGGCTCTGCGCAACACCCTGCATGATCCGTATGGCAGAGGACTGATGTCCCAAACCAAGAAAAGATCACAGACCTGGTACACAGCCTTTCAGTGCGTCAACGTAGATGGAGTTGACATCGCCAGAACGAGTGGTGAAATTGGCCTTCTTCGCTACACAGGCAGACGCCCATTGAAGGTTCAACCGGGAGCAGAAGTTGTCATCACAGCCAGGGCACCGCAAGCAGCCAGAGGGCGGACCATCACTGCACTAGTAGAGGGAAACAAGTACCAGAATTTAGGTGTCGGTCGGGCACTGGTAGAAGTCAAAGATGGCAGAGCTCCCATCCTATATGTGCAACTTGTCTCATCAGACAATCACTGTCAGGAAGAACTCAGTCCTCGCCATGCTTTCGTGTGTTCAAGTCCTCCAGTCCTGTACATCTGAAGACGTAGCGGAGATGACATCCTTTGAGCATCTGGTGTCCCATGACAATCCTGTACCAGATATCCACCTTTGTGATGCAGACCTGTCGCCATCTGAGAAGACTGCCGTTGAAGAGCTGCTGAGGAAGAATGCTGATGTTTTCTCCCAAAATCCAATGGACATCGGCCACACACCAGCAGTTGAGCACGAAATCCCCCTCATCGACCCTACCCCTTTCCGACTGCCTTATCGGAGGATACCACAAGCGGAGTTTCAAGAAGTGAGAAAACACATAGAAGACCTCAAGAATGCTCGAGTCGTTAAGCCCAGTCAGTCCCATGTGCCTCACCAGTCCTGGTTGTGAGGAAGACGGACAGTAGCATCAGACTTTGCATTGACTACTGTAAGCTGAACTCCCGCACGGTCCGAGATGCTTTTCCCCTTCCACGAATTGAAGAAACGCTGGACGCTTTGGGAAAAGCCAAATACTTCAAATGCCTGGACCTCACCTCTGGCTATTTCCAAGTCAAGGAAGCAGAAAAGGACCAATCCAAGACTGCCTTCACGACACCCATGGGCCTGTTCGAGTTTACACGGATGCCCTGTGGCCTTGTGAACGCCCCCGCAACCTTCCAACGGCTGATGTCCACAGTCTTTGCTGGAATGCACTTTGAGAATGTTCTCCTGTATCTCGACGATGTTATCGTTTTCAGTGAAACGATCAAGGAACACATCGCCAGAATAGACAAAGTTTTTGGACGGTTCAGAGAACACAATCTGAAACTGAAACCCTCAAAGTGCCATCTTCTGAAGCGAAGCGTGAAGTACCTCGGCCACATCATTTCATCAGAGGGTATAGAGACAAGCCCAGACAAGTTATCTGCAATAGAAGAGTGGCCAGTTCCAACATCTAAGAAGGAGGTGAGAGGTTTCCTAGGAATCACTGGATACTACCGAAAGTTCGTCCAGGACTATGCGAATATAGCCAATCCCCTCTTCTCTCTTATAGGAGGAAAACAAGGCACTAAGGACCCTCCATTTGTTTGGACCGATGCATGCAAAACCGCCTTCCGGACCCTCAAGAGCAAGCTGGTGTCTTCACCTATCCTCGCCTATGCCGATTACAAACTGCCGTTTGTAGTACAGACTGATGCGTCCCTGGATGGCCTTGGAGCGGTACTGACTCAGGTGCAAGAAGGTCGCGAACGAGTGGTGGCCTATGCCAGTCGAAGCCTGTCTGCAGCAGAAAAGAGATACCCGGCGCACAAACTGGAGTTCCGTGCACTACACTGGGCTCTGACTGACAAGTTTAGGGACTATCTCTATGGTCACCATGTAACAGCTATCACGGACAACAATCCCTTAACATATGTCCTGAAGAGTGCAAAGTTGGATGCCAACGGCCAACGCTGGGTGAATGACCTCTCTCTCTTCAATCTTGATATTCGCCACCGACCAGGAAAGGCCAACAGCAATGCCGATGCCCTATCAAGAATACTGCGGGAGGAGGTAGCTCGCATCCTAGACTCCACAGGAGGAGGAGAACCTGCAGGCCAGAGCCCTGTGAAAGAGGCCACCGTGACAGCAGAGGTACATGTGGGTGTAGCAGCAGCAGCAAGAGCACAAGACACCCGCCGGATAGATGATGCACATCGAAGCCGTCCTAGCACAAAATCCAGCGAAGAACCCTCTTGATCTGAGCAGGACCACCACCAACTTCCTGACACAAGCCTGATGGAGAATGGCATCGAACTTCTTGAGGCCCAACAGAATGATGCAACAATAAGAAGAGTCACACACCTTTAATAGGTCAACCCGGCAAAGTAAGCCCAGCATGAGGCAGTGCAGACGAGAAGAAAAAGCAGTACAGCGTCTCCTTTGATCCGGGACCAACTTGATGTCAGCGAGGGTCTGCTTACCTACGACAGAAGTGAAGATAGACAGATGCGTCATATCCCTGTTCTTCCTCAAGCTCTGAAGTCAGAGGTATTGAGGAGGTTGCACGACACGATGGGCCACCTAGGGTTCCAGAAAATACTTCAGCTGGCGAGGAGCCGTTTCTTCTGGACAGGGCTACACACCGATGTAAAGAGGTATGTGGAGGCCTGCAAGCGGTGTGCACTGAGGTAGCTCCCATACACCAGGAGAAGTGCTGGCTTGCAAAATTCCGGACAGAGCGACCCCTGCAACTCATCTGCATCGACTTCTTAAGCCTAAAAAGATCATTAGGTGGATACGAGAATGTTCTGGTCCTCACTGACCACTTCACGCGCCACGCACAAGCCTACCCCACGAAGGACCAGAAGGCGACAACGGTGGCGAAAATCTTGTGGCAGAAATTCATTGTCAACTATGGTATCCCCGAACAGATTCATTTTGACCAGGGGAGATGTTTTGAGTCACGGATCGTCAAAGAGCTGTGTCGCCTCCTAGGAGTGCAGAAGTCAAAGACAACTCCGTATCACCCCCAAGGCAACGGCATGACGGAACGATTTAATCGTACACTCCTGTCGATGTTGGGCACCCTTGAGGAGACCGAGAAGAGGAACTGGGCGATGTACACCGAGACATTGACTCATGCTTACAACAGCACACAACACGAGTCAACTGGCCACTCACCTTTCTTCTTAATGTTCCTGAGGGAGCCCAAGCTTGCTGTCGATATTCAGTTTCCAACCCGGTCCAACGACATGCTGGAGATGCAGATGCAGAACTTCCTATCTTCGTCGAGAATCTTCAGCGACAACTTCATCGAGCCTATCAAGAGGTTGAGGCACAAGCAGAGAGATCTCGTCAGAAGCAGAAGAAAACTACAACAAGACAGTCAAGGAAACCACCTACGATCCTGGGGACAAGGTGCTTCTGGCCAACAAGTCGCTTCGAGGAAAGCACAAGCTGAAAGACAAGTGGGAGGAGACCCCTTCATTGTGGTCAGACGACATCTCCAAGGTCCAGTGTATGTAGTCAGACAACTCGGCTCCATGAAGACAAAGTCTGTCCACAGGAACCTGTTGACAAGATGTCACTTCCCAGTAGATACACCAGAAAACAAGGCTGTACCACTTCTCTCTTCAGATGAGACGTCCTGTGTTATCCGTCCGTCGCCCGAGTATAATGACTCGGCATCTTCATCCATCGATGAACCCCAGCCTAGAGACCAGACATCAGGCTCTAACTCAAGTTCCGATCCTGACGATTCAGCGGATGAATACTGTCCCTCCAGCTCTGATGAGTCTGTGGAGATTTTACCTGGTTCCAATGATTATCATAATATGTCGCGATTTAGCTTTTTAAACTGGGACCAAAAAAAAAAAGAATCAAGGAAACAAAAATATACTTCTCGCAAATTTAATTAAGTCTAAAAAAAACCTTCCAACAAAAAAAAAAAATGCTATCCTTAAGCGCAAAAAACTAGTTTCCAGAAATACTTCAAGGCAAAAAATCTCAATCAGGATCAACAACATATAAAACACTCAAAAGAATTTGCCAGGGATAATAAAATAAACCATTTGATAAAAAAACTAAGTTAAAAGAATAAAAAGCAAAGGAAAAAAAGGGAAAACAAAAGGAAACCCACACAGCACTTAAGGAAATGACTCTAAAAGCACAGGAATGAACTAAAAACCAAAAATGGAGCAGACACTTGTGATCGGTATGAAAATGTACACTAAAGCTAGAGCAGGGCTTGTATGTCTTGCCTGTGTGATGCTGGTCTGCTGAATGAGCTTCTAGGTCAATGAACCAAAGCTACACAGGAAGTTGGGGCCAGAATAAACAATGGGGGAAGGGGGAGGCCACTACTAAATTAAACATGGGAGAAGAGGGGGTGTACTCCTATAAAAAGACGGGTAGCAGATCTGAAACTAGGGAAAACTTTAACCTATTTTCTGCTCCTTTACATGATCTTTTAAGCAAACTTTCCACACCCTTTAGAAACTATAGGGTGGAGGATGCCATGAACATAATGGCTGTCACTGGGACAGAAGAAAACAGTATCAATTTTGTTTAATCCATGAAGATCCTTTCTACATAACGTTTGTTACACAGGCAGACTTTGATTATCATTGTTTTTTTTTTAATGGAAGTCCAAGAGTCATTCAGTTACCAACTGAGGCATGCGCACTATGGTCATTGACTAAACCTGGTTGCAGAAAAGTACCGGTAGCTGCAGGCATGCAGGGCAAGGGTTTTGCTTTGTGAAATAGCAGGTAAAAAACCTTTGCTATCAATGGGGGCTACCTGAGCAGCATCGTGCTAGAAATGATACATGTACATGTATATGTATACGATGCGGTGTTTGCTCCGATTGCAGTGAGACACCTCGGAACAATGTGAGGGTTGCTCCGGTTCAAAGTGAGTGAGATACACGCCGATCATCAATTATTCATTGATGACATTTGTCCAAAAAAACTACACAGTGTAAATGTATATAAGGATCTACAACTTACCCAGAACTTGGGCTTGAATATGTATGAGGTATAGTATAGGCTTTATAACTTACCCAGAACCTATGCGTGAATATGTACAAGTATGAGGTACGCTATTGTTAATGCTTTATAACTTACCGGTACCTGGAACTTGGGGGTGCTCATCATCCAAGTTTGTTTCTGAAAAGAAATTTGTATTAAATGTAATTAAATTTGTTTATACACTGTAAATAGCACTGAAAAGAGGCATTTACAAATTAAGAGAGCACAAACATACATGTAATGGCTAAAATGGTCAGTTAATAGAGCACTACCATTTTGAAAAATTGGAAATATTAACTGGCATTAGACAGACCAATCACAGGGCACTTTGATTGGTCACCTTGATTGGTGACCAATCAAAGTGCCCTGTGATAGGTCAGGTGACAAATTAACAACAACTACACAATACTCACCCATCCACACGCGATACAAACACGAGGTGCAAACCCATTGAAAATAAGTTTTAGTCTGGTCCTCAAGTACTCCACTGCGCACACTGCATTGATGTCTATCAGGTTCTTGACCGCATTGCTTATTAGACTTGTCACCAGTATGAACTGGTATTATAAACATTATTATAAATTAGGGCCTATATTTCGCCAAAAGTTTTCGGGCAATATTACGAAAACAGAAAACATTGGAAATCCAGAATCCGCATACAATTCTGCAGACGTTTGACCAAAATTCCGGAAATACTGAAAATCCAGACAAATCACACCCCTGAATATATGGTGAACTATAAAGTGAAATGCTTTGCATTATGCTCTACCTGGGAGTAAATTGGTTTGTGTGATGACATACATGTACAATAGCTGGATGCTGTGAGGGAGTTGAGGTTTCAAGATTTTGTCTGAGCATTTATACATAGACCAGGTGTAAAGCAGATTTCAAATTGCACTACATGTATAGTGCTGATGATTGTCCATCTTCAACAAACCTCTTGGAGCGAATCTACTCTGAAGATTTCCCATTATTGGTCAGACTAGGACCACGTTCCAACACAAGCAAACTATTTCCTGCAGATAGATAAAAACAAAACCGACAATGAGTGACAAGATCAATGCAGAGAAGACGACAATATAGCAAAATGGATGCAAGGGCGGATCGGGGGGGGGGGGGGGGGCAACGGGGGCCTTCGTACAACATTATATTTCCTCAAAAACAAAATTGGTCAAAGTGGTCAGAAATTAATTGCCTCAGATCGCACCACAGAGCATTTAGAATCCAAAAACATTTGGGGCCTCAAACCCTACGCCGTAATTTTGTGATCCACTTTTTGGGGGGGACCAAAGTTGGGGGGGGGGGGGGGTGGCTACAAAAATTGTGTTCTGGATCCGCACTTGCATGGATGCTGTGTGCCCATGATACATGCAGCAATTGTTTGTGAGTATCCGTTTATTTGACATTGGTATGTTTTAATATGAAGCCATTATGTCTCCGCCATTTTGTATCCATGAGGGTCAGTGCTGGAACTGCTGCACATCCATGACCTATTGTTACACTCCATTTAATTATTGCACTTCCATACTAGGGTACCCACCGTATTCAAATTAAATGGTAGATTTGCAAGATTACCTAATACCTGTGCTATTTTTATTAGAAAGAAAACAGATCAAATGTAAACCAAGATACAATTTGCTGAATAGCACCATGTGTTATGGCTTAGGAGATGCCTGCCTTGGATAGGCAAGAATTGGCAAGCCTTGCAAACCTAGTCGAGATCAGTCACAAAGGACAAATAGTCATAGTCTTAGTCACAAGTGACAGTCAGTCAGTCAGTCAGTTACTTGTAGTTATGATTGCAGCAGACAGGGCAGCAACGGAGATCAAGTCCGTTACTGTTTGGATACAATGACGGAATAGTTGATGCATGAAAAAGTGATGTTACATGTAGGTTTTGGCAACGTTCTTCGTTGTAGTGCAGCGTTTCTCAAAACATCCAGAACAGCAAAGTGTGGAGAGAGGGGCATGCCGCCCAAATTCCCTCTCCTCATTCATTGTCATTTACCCCCACGCTCTGTATCAAAGCCTCAATGTCAATACTCATTATTTGCTGATGGAACATTTAATAAGAAACTGTTAAAAAGGGACCCTTATTGTGCCAATAAATGTATGAACTTTGGACAGCCACACCCGCCTCTCAAATCCCGAGTGTCGAAGGATTCAACCCCACCCCTACCCCACTTCTATCTTTTGACTTTGAAGACACAAATACCGCCAAATGCACGTAGTGATTAGAAAATATCCAATCTTGTCATACTATCAATGAGTGCCTGCAGTAAGTATAATAAAGAGATTCACATCAATGATACAATGTAAGCAAACACCATTCAGCAATGACATTGCAACCATCTGTAATTATCACCCTGCATCTCTTTATGTATTAAAGCTGCCCCCGCAGGTGGTCTGTATTCAGCTATTTGAACTGATATTGGTCCAAGTATCCACCCACAATAAACATAATTAAAAAATCATAGGGCCTATCACTAACTACAATCATACTTAATTTGAACCGGCCAGACAAAAAGTAAACAAACAAAACATTTCAAACCATGCCTTTGACACTCTTCACATCCAGTAATTACACTTAATTACCTGCATGGAGCCAACTTTAAGAGTCCGTTGATAAAAATATCATGTTTTATCTTCTCTTTATAAGAAATAAAATGGACCAATTCCAAGGGCCAGTTGTTTGATCAGTTACTAGTCCATATAAGGCAAGCATGTGACCGTATGATCTTTGATATTAGTCAGAGCCTAGCCATGACCAATCCCCCCCCCCCCACGTAGCCACTCGCAACATGCCTTTGTGACTCGTACCTCTCAGTCTCACAAGCTCAAAATGTTTGAGGAAACTACAGGAAATCAAACAGATTTCACACAGAAATCACAAACCCTGACAAATTGTAGAGTGTCATTTTATGTAATTTGTGTGTCAGTCAGTGTAATGTGTCAGGTTTTTTTCTTTAAAATCGAAAGACGCCCAGAATAAATACACTACAGAAATAAATAAAGTACTTCAAGATTTTATCTTTGAACCAAATCGAAATAAATAGGACAAATGCACTGTGCAGTGATGCCCTGCCCCCTCACTACACACACTCTTTATTTTAGCAGTATGACCTTTAACTATTATTAGGCCAACATCATGCCAAATTTTATATGCCCAAATTATTTCTATGCACATGTACATGTATAACTCTACGGATTCAATTCCTGGGTTCTGTTGTTATGATTGCTTAAACCGTTGCTATGACGTCACACTATTGTTAACAGTGTGGATTCGGATCTACGAATCTGTTACACTGGTCACAAAGTGTGGATTCGGAACAACGAATCCACACATTGAACATGTCGGACAATTGTTCTCCATAATGAGCATGAATAGGACCGTCTGCGTGAAAATTTGCTTTCAAAAAATTACCAATGCATCTTCACTGTCAGATTTTCCACCGTCACTGCAAATATACATGTACTTTTATTCAGAAAGAAATCGTCGTCTGAACCATCCATTTTGACGTAAGGAGCCTATACACACAAAATTACTTGGTTGCACGGGTGTGGCGATACACATGCTAAACACGCCAGGAAAAAAAGTTGCAACCTGACGCCACTTTTGCGCTTGTGTACAAAGTCTAAGGAAAGTCATTTCAAGTATTTCCTAACAAAATTGGAAACATTTCTCAGTCCCAGATTCATGTCTTACCATCATTTTTGCAACAAATGACCTTCATTGAGATGATATATATGAAGAAAAAAGTGGCGTCAGGTTGCAACATTCTTTCCAATACTTCTGTTGACGCAATGGTTTAAGTCGAAGAATACACTCTTAATTTACAAACTCACTCGGCGCTTCGCGCCTCATGAATTCTTAAATTACGAATCCACACTTTCTCATGTATTCTCTTAAACCTAAAACAACTACCATTGGTTGATCATTCTTGAAGTTTATTTTTGCCAGATTTAGATTGTCTCTCTGAGCTTAACAACTAGCCAGTAAATCAAACGTATTTGAGAACCAGGAAAATTAGGACGAATAGTGGGCAATTTGTGTGGTGTTAAAACAAAATCCATTTTTTAAATTATTTTTGAAAGTAAAATTACAACATGGAGTCAGACAAAATCACACCATTCCACTCAAAGAAATTGATGTTGTGTTAAACTATAGTTAGTCCATGTATGTTTCTTTTCCCCAAACTTTGGTAAACTACATTGTAGGGGCATCGATTACTTTATTGCGGAAATGAACTAGTCTGTCAATATAAATCGAAACCTGCAAAAGAGATCTCGATAAAGTGACACCAAATTCATTTGCTTTTTGAAAGAAAAACTGTAATTGTATTTCAAAAAAAAATTTAAGTATAAAGTAGGGATGTTAGCAAAATAACTCAAAAACACCAAAACAATTGCAGGATTTCAGAGGGCGACTCCATTTTTTCCCACTCAGAAAATTGCTTGAACTGATTCCTGACAATTCTTTTCCATAAGATTCGCTGGTTGCCTCCACCCTAGAAATAACGTGTTTTTTTTTTTTTGTAAAGCATGAATTTTTTTTGTGAGGGGTGGGGGGGGGGGGGTTATCGTTTCAA